GTCCCAAGGCACAGATACTGCCTAAACATTTTTGGCAGCACTATCAACTTGATAGCTGTTTTAACTTTACAAACTTAATTCACTTTGAAGGAAGAGACAACTGACTATTGAGCTCAGTCAAAGCCTCAGGTGAAGAACAAAGTTCATCTAAGCAGGGGCATTAGGCTCACAGACCCTAAAAGTTGTAAAGAACTCAGCAGGCACCAGCTATACCCTTCTGTACCACTCCGAAAAATCTGCAATTGTTCAGGTACATTGATCAGGAACACCTGCACCGTTATTGAAAGGAAATTAAATGGCAGGCATTGAGACTTGATTGGAATATGCTATACTCCACACTTTACAAGGTAACTACCAAGATTTTACGTTGGGGGCAGAGCAGGGAGGGTAACAAAGAGCTTGCTATTTTCTATGGTCATGTGAGACAAATTCTTCAACAGAGATTCAAACTGCTAAAAGGGCAATAACAGATCACACGGGCTACTTTTGAGACAAGGCTTTGTGCTGTGTGTGTGTGTGTGTGTGTGTGTGTGTGTGTGTGTGTGTGTGTGTATCTTGGGGTGGCTTCAAACTTGTAGCAATCTTCCTGCCTCAGCCTCCAAAATTCCAGTATTACAGGGACTCACAATTGTGCCTGGCTTCTTGATAAGAAATTTTAATGTCTAGGGGTGATATGAAATTGCAATTAGATTTTTAAACTTTTATTTGCTGAGCATCATTAAGTGCCAAAAGTAAAAAAGTGTTTTTAAAAAGGACAAAAAGAGGGTCTTATAGAAAGGACTCCAGAGATACCCTGAAGTTACTTTGAGGGGTTCCTAATAGTGGAGGTCAGGCCATCTGAACAAAAATGTGATCTGAAAATAACATAGGATTACAACTTGGGCGACAAAGGAATACTCATGAGTTGATACAGCTATAAGTAGGTGATTGTGTGAATAAAGAAGGAGAAGGAACATGTTTTGCTACGGAAGATTTCATTTACAATCTGTAGGAGGAATGGTAGAACTAGAAACCTCAGAAGATCACACTAGTAATCGCTACAAGGAACAGTGATGGGTGTTAAAGCTGATGCTCATTCATCAGCTTCAGTTGTCTTGTTCCTGTGTTCCCTCCACTCAGATGTTGCTTAATTGTAAGGGGAAGTATGTTGACAGTATGGTCGGCACAATCATCATCCAACACCCTATCCTATGATCAAAGGTTTAACGCTCTCAGTAATCAGAAGTGTGGACCCACATATCCTGGATGAGAGGCATGGGGTGAGAGACGTCATCTCTGTAGATCCTTTCTAAATGCATGTGACCTCAATCGATCACTCAGCAACACAGGAGAAATCCAAACTGAAGGACAGGCTATAAAATGCCTTAGGTAGTTGCTGTGGGATGATCCTTTTATACGCTGTGAATATGTGTTGCTCTCATTAGTTAATAATAAAGCTGGTTGGCCAATAGTGAGGCAGGATAAGGTTAGGCAGGACAACCAAACTGAAGACTGGGAGAAGAAGGGCAGAGTCTGGAGACGTGAGCAAGCCACCCAAGAAGCAAGATGCCAGAGGACTAGCAAAGCCACAGCCATGAGGCAATACATAGATTAATAGAAATGGGTTAATTTAAATGTAAGAGCTAGTCAATAATAAGCATGAGCCATTGGCCAAACATTTATAATTAATATAAGCCTCTATATGGTAATTTGGGAAGTGGCTGCCAGGTATTTGGAAACAGGCAGACGGGACAAAACAATCCACCTCTGTTTACAGTGAGTTGTGAGTCAGACTTAAACACAAGGAGAGACTGAGAACTGCCTTTGAGTGGAGGGGAACAGGAGGTCTCATAATCAAGGTACGATCCTAGGTGAAATATAAAATTACATCACAAGGAAAAAATGTGAAATATGGATAAAATCTGTTTTTAGTTACAAGTACTGTGCAAATGTCAATTTCTTAGTTTGAATCTGTATTGTATTTCCAAAAAATTGTAAACATTAAAAATGTGAAGTGTTCACATTAAGGTGGGTGGTGTGAGTTTTGTAACAATTCTTGGTGCTGCTTTCATTATTCCTCTTACATTATTTCAAAATAAATAGATTAATATGCCTGGCATATCACTGGATCCCAGTCAGTGTTAAACATGCCAGTAGCAGTGATACAGAAATGCGAACCCCCAGCATATGATTGGATACTGACGCAGATCTTCTCCTCTGAAGCTCCTAAGATAACCCATCCACCCTGACAGTGGTGATTTGATCAGAGCTATCTTCCCAGCTGGTTTTACTCAAACACCACTGAGCACCTACTGTGTGATGGAATATTGTATTAAAGTAACGGGAGCACAGAGATAAGAGAGACTGTATCTAAGGCTGTATTCTGTTGCTATAACAAAATACCAGAGACTGGGTAATTTAGAAAGGGAAGACTTATTGTGGCTCATACCATTTTGCAGGCTTGGAAGTCTAAAAGCATAGTGAAAGCAGCTCATGACCAAAATAATAATAATAATGATAATGATAATAATAATAATAATAATAATAATAATAAAGGGTCCAGAGACAGAAAGAACAAAACAAAAGGAGTATTCCTTGCTTCATGACAACATTCTTCTGGGGTAATTAATGTAACCCTGAAAGAATAAGAACTTGCTTCCAGAAGACAGGTATTAATACCCCTTAACATGCTAATGGTCTCTTGAACCCAACCCCTTTCAATGACATTATACCAAAAATCAAATTTCAAAATGTGTTGGTTGAGGGACAGGCACGGTGATGAGTCTCTGTGCTGGAGACAAGCCCTAGCCCAGCTTAGCTGAGTCTTGTTGGAGAAGAGAAACTTGGACAGCAAAAAGGGATGGGAGGACAGCAGGTAAAGATTCTAGGAGAAGAAAATCCCCAGGGTCCCTGAACTCTTCAGTAATGTGGAGAAACCTGTAAGAGAGAGGGTGGAGTGTTTGCGCCAGAGCACAGGAGGCCCAGGGGATTGACAACAGACTCTCAATTGCACCCGTAGGTGGTGAGCTGTCTACAAAGCAACACTGTGTATTTATATCTATCTCAGAAGCACCGTCTGAGTGCATTTAGGAGAAACAGCAAATGAGTTTGCAGCAAGGAGACAAAAGGAACATTTTGCTGTTATTTAAGCCATAAGTAATACCAATGTTAATATTTAAAGGCAGTTATGACTATTTTCCTGTCACCAAGCTATTATTCAGGCACTAAGAGCAGAGACAGAAGGACACAAGATAGAATCAGAAGCACACCAGAGGAAAAAGACTCTTCAGGATTCGATGTGCCATTTATATTCTTTCTTTGGTCAATCAGCAGCTCAAATTTTTGAGTGACACATGTAGCTGTGCTCACACACACACATTACACACACACATACACACACACACTATACAATATGGTTTGATCAGGGAATTACCCTTTCTATCTCCTTGAACATTTATTTGTCATTTCTTTGTATTGAAAACCTACAAATCTCCTCTTCGTTGCAAAATAAACAAGCTGTTGTAACCTGTAGTCACACCGTGTGCCACAGAGCACTAGACCCCATGTCCCTTTTTTGCCTCTGATTGCATTTGGGGACTCATTGTCTGGCTCTCTCTAGCTTCCTTCCTTTTGATGTCAGGACCTTTGCATGGTCTTGATTGTGTTAACCGCTAACTCCGCAGAAGGGGTCTGCATTGAGTCTACCAGGTTTCTAGCCAGGGTATTGGCTAACTTTACCAATGAAAGAGGGGGAGTAGATTAAGAAATGTGTTTGGAAGGAGAGTAGAAAGAGATCCAGATATGCTAATAAAATCTATGGGGTACATATTAAGTCTAAGTTATCCATGTGATACTTAATTCATATTTTGAATAATCAATAAAATATTCACCTGCAGCTCAGAGGAGACTGAGATCAGGTAAAAATTAAGCCCTGGAGCATGGAAGATGTTGCTGAGAGGCAGCATGGAAAAAACTCAGCTGAAGATGGATTCCTCAGGCAAATTACTAGTTCAGGACTGGTTGGGGAGAAAGAGATCAAGAAATAGCCAAGTCATTCAAAAATTAGCTAAAGGGACATTCACTGGATTTAGAACATAAAAGTTACAAGTGACTACATCTGAGAAATTTCAGTTGAGGTAGAGGGTAAGTAACTCAATGGATTGAGTGGTGAATGTGAGTTAAAGAATTTGAGGCCCTAGAACTGGTGAAATATGTTTGTAATCCTAGCTGTTAAGAAGGCTGAGGCAGGAGGATTCTAAGTTCGAGGCTATCGTAGGCTACAGCATGAGTTCAAATCCAGCTCAGGTACCTCATTGAGTCCCTATCTCTAAATTAAACCTCCAAGCCTGCCCTTGGTGACATATTTCCTCTAACAAGGCCACAATTCCTAAACCCACAAAAACAGGGCCAGTAGCTAGGGACCAAGCTAACAAATGCCCAAGGATCTAGAGGATACCTCATTCAGACAGCCACAGGAAAGTAGGGGGGAAAGAGGAACTCACTCATGAATTATAAAGAATAGAGAAAAGGCCTACTTTTCATCTTAGTTCCCGAAGAAATCAAACTGCCCACTTCATTTCCCCCACATTCTTCCTTCCGGACTCCAAAGCACCCACAGCTGCCATGAGGGGCTTGTTTGTCATGGGGCTGATCAGGGGAGCCACTGACCAGCTTGGGGAGGGGTATGTGTTACATAGACCTCTTCCCAAAAGGACAACTACATTCATAATCACAGACTTTTAGCCCAGAACAAGCAGCCACGAGAGTGCCGCCTACCATCTACAGGTAGAGTCCATTCACCTGGGAGCACACAGATCGCTTGTATGGGCTTTTGTTTCCTCTTATATCGCTTTGCTCTGCTTGGCTTTATAGGCAGTGCTGGGAATTGAACCCGTGACCTTGTTCATATTAAGCAAGTGCTTGTCTCATTTTAAGAGACTAACTTTCCCCTCTGGAGAAGTGCTGTTGGGTGCCTTCCTTTCTTATCTCCTAGTCACACCCTTCCTCTTCACACTGGACAGGACCGAGGCAAGCTAGCCTCTGCCGCATCTCCACAGCGCACTATCTGAGGAAGGAACCTCTGATGGACTGGACGGGAACTGTCTATAACACCAGCTTGGAGAAAATGCCTTTCTTCAATTATCTAAATTACTTTCATCACTAATGAACAAACCCTCCGCACCTCAGGTAATGGGCTTCTTTTCTCTTTCTACAAAATTGAAAGGGAAAATGAAGTGGGTCAGAGACTTGGAGGGTAGATGGGCAGCGCGGTTCTTCAACTACAGCGGGTTGCATACCGCAACTGTTTTATTTGTGCTTATCTTTAAAAATGAAAGAGGGAGAGAGGCAGAGAAGGAAGGAAGTGGGAGCAGGGGGACAGAAGGAAGGAAGCTTTTTAAACTCTGGCTCATTTTCGCAGCGTGTCAGTGAGGCATAAACACATGAAATATAGGAGAAAACACTATGCTTGTATTAATACTGTTTACCACTTTGCTTTTTGTATATAATAAGTATCATTTTGTAATATATTTTGTGTAGTTCGTGTCTAAGTATACATCGCTAGTAATTATAATTATTATGTAATTCAGAAATTATTTTTAAACCCTAGTTATGTTTATTCACATACAATAACAAAGTTTCAATACTCACTTTATTGCATTAAGCTATAAGATAACTCGCAAGACGTTTCCCAGCCTAAAACTATTAAGTTAGGGTAACATTCTGTAGAGGAAATAGAATGCAGATAAAAGTTTGTGGAGGGAAAATCATATGCAGAATATCTTTTTTAAATGCCCTCCCGTGCTTGTAAAGTATATGATGGTAGATGATGAATTGCCATGGCATTTCAGAGTCACATAAAATTTGGTTATAAAAAGTAAAATATGTACATGATATCTGAAGCTACATGCTGTGTGACTTCTTAAAAATAAAAAATTTAGATGTGAATTTTTAAATGTGTAAGGAGTATATAGCTTCATCCAAGTGGTACTAAATAGTTCACAAGAACAAAAGGGGAGATGAGTGGAAGCAGTCTCTCCACTGACACCCACATACTTCCCTTCTCACCTGCAATGTGACTCCTACCACCTCCCCAGGATGGTCTAAAAAAGGGGGGGAGGTAGGAGAAAAAGCCAAGGCTTTGTTGATGTATCAGAAAATGTTTTGGAACACTAAATGTAAAGCATGGCTCTGGCTTTCCCCGAGGGATACCCACATTTGCCAGGGGCCCCACAGGGCACAGGCAAGTCCTGATTAGATGGAAAACATCTGTGAGTGGTGCTGATTATTTGTCAACAGAAGGAGAGGCTAAGGGTTGCAGAGCACTCCCCAAGGCATCTCCCTTGCCGTGTCTATTCAAAAACATTCAAGGCTCTCTAGTGGAAGGAGCATGTTAAATATTTTGTTCTTAGACTGCATAGTTTTGGATCCCTGATTTTTCCAAATTAAGAAGTTGTTATGTATAAGTTGTGCTGACCGTTTTTGCACCAGAATCTTTTAAAAACCTTGGCAGGGTGCTTACATGCTTCTGGACTCCTGTAAGAAACTTAGGTGGAAGCCAGGTATGGTAGACAGGAAGGTTATGAGTTTGGGGCCACCTAAGGCTACAGGACAAAAGCCAGTCTCAAACAAAATAAAACACAAATGAAATACACAACGACAACAAAAGAAACTTATGTTGATTGAACACCTAGGAAAGAAAACTCAAAATATATAGTCATAAAAGAAACCTGCAGAAGTTGACTGTGGATGGAGTTCAGTGGGTAGGGCACTTGCCTAGTATGCAGGGAGTCCTGGGTTCAATGCCCAGAACTGAATAACCTGATACAGTAGTTCATAACTATAATCCCAGCATGCAGAGGTAGAACCAAGAGGGTAGAAACTCAGCTACATAGTGTAGCTTGGGCCAGGCTGGGATAGATGAGACTTTCAATCAGAACTAAGCAAAGCATTGTAGAGTCCAAGAACCATGTGAAGCTTGATTTGGTAATGTTTACAGGGTCTCCCAGGGAAGACGTGCTAAGTCCACGTTTATAAAACATATCTTGAATATAGTCTGTTGATGTGGTTGTGCAGTATTCCCTTCAACAGGACAATGTAGCACTCTGAAATAATTTGTACATCTGGAAGACAGTCAGGTCCTTCTGATATGGGAGCAATCTACAGAAATAAATGAAATAAAACAGTGACAGCAGCCTGGCTCTAGTTGAACAGTGTTCTCAGTCAGCTGTTTGCAGCCTAAGGAGGTGTGGACTGATGAACTTATTTTTAGTTAGTATCAGTACATACCATATAGAGTTAATCAAATGCTTAGTACCAATCATTCACCTTTTAATTTGGAATTACTTTTACTGCTGTGTGCATGACAAAAACAGTAATTATGAGTCTGCAGGGTTCATGAACAATTAGATTAAAGTGTTGCTGAGGCATAATATATAAAGTATTCTCCCTAATTGGAGATATCCCTTGTGAATGAGTGGCCATGTGAACAGGCACTTGAGGGACAAGAGGGAAGGAAAAAAGGGATAGGTACAGTCTTGACTTTCTTGGTGACAAATGGCCTTACAACAGATTTTAACACCTTAAAGACTCATCCAGAGGCAGGAATTTCTCTTCTGTAGAGGTGAAAACATCTCTCTGCACTTCCTAAGAACAGGCAGTTTTCTGTGGTTAGTATTCAATATCTGTAAGTGGGGGATGAATATGTGACATCTCTAACCCCAGTTCATAATAGATTTCTCTGACAATGCTTAAATTACAAGTATAATTAAATACAATTTAATTTCTATAGAAAACCAACTGATTGTGCATTTTAAATTATTTTTTAGGTTCGTATACAAAATAATTAGTGCCATTATGTTTTTTCCATACCTAGATGATATGGACTATCTGGGACTGGGGTAAGGAAGACAGCCCAGAAGTGAGCAGAAGGCATGGGGGAGGACAAGAGGGAAGAGAAACAAATAGACCCACAGTAGAGTGAGAGTCACCTCTGCAAACTCTCGGGTTTTGTCATCCGTCTAGCAGAGCTTGAAACCAATGCTATTTTCAATGTTAACTATAAATAATGCAAGCTTTCCAAAGTACACAACTGTGAATCTTGAAATGGAACATAATTTTATTTTATTGATTATGATTGTTCTTTTTTTTTAAAAAAAGCATCTTATAAGACAGCCCAGGGTGACCTCCAATTCACTATGTAGCTCAGGCTAGCCTAAAACATCTAGTCCTCCTGCTTTAGTCTTCTGAGCATTGGGATTACAGGCCTGTACCACGACTTCTGTCTGGTTACGGTAGTTTGTGTGTGTGTGTACACATTTGGGTATGCACATGGGCATGAAATCCACCACATATGTGTACAGATTGGAGGACAACTTATAAACTCAGTTATCTCTGTCTATCGTGTGGGTCCTTGGAGATGGATCTCGGGTTTCAGCTTTGGTGACAGCTACCTTAACCCACTGAGTCACAGGTATGATTATTCTTGTATGTAGGGACAACCCATGAAGCTTTCAGGAGTTCAGGAGGTGGGACTTTGGTTCTTAAGGGCATTCTGTGCCCACTCTTGCCTCATCTGTTCAGGATTACTTCCTAATTTTGTCTGTCTGGTCCCTTTTGTCACTATCTCCATACCTTTTAAATTAAATAGCAATACTTTAAAAGAAATGTATTAAGTAAGAATGCATGGGCTTTGACTTAATCTAGCTTTCCCATAACTGGGAGGGTATGCTCTATACTTAGGCTCTTATAACAGCTCTTGGTTGTTCAGTGCTATTTCTCACTTCCTAGAATTTGGTATTTGGAATAAGATAATCACCAATTTCTTTTCTAGTTAGTAAAGGTATTTCTTTTCAGTGCTTTAAGAGATTTATGAATTGTATAGGCTTATAATGAATAGATTAGGTATATGAGGAAAAATGCTTTTAAATTTTTAAAATCCAGCCTGCCAGTTCTTATGTTTGGAACTTCTGTTACCCAGGTTTTCTTTCTCTGCTGTTGCCTGGCAACAAGATGTGGCCAGAGATGTCAGAGGTTAAGGAGCAAACCAATGTCATGGAAAGTAACTCTATCAGCATTTCCCATCAAACTTTGTAATCTTTGAAATAAAATAGATTTCATTGTATTAAATGCCTGTATTTTTTCTTATCCAATGCCAAGTTTTTAAGAGACATTTTTTCCCTTTCTGAATATGAGTCCATTACACATGGGGAATTATAATTATGTGCATTGCTTTGTTACAGGCTCTTCTATTACACCAGACTACTTTGAAGGTTAAAGTGAACAGCGTGTGGCATTATGAAGCCTTGGCTATAAGAGAAGTGGTTGTGGACATTTTTAAAAAAAATATTCTAAGCATTGGAAACAATCATTGGCTCTAAAGGCCCTCACTACGAAGCATCAGTTAACACCATGCTAAATTCTATTTTTATGTGTACGTGTCTGCTTACTAGAAAAGGTAATGTAAAACATTCTAGAGCCTTCCTTGCCTCTATTTCAAAATGGGAAAATTGGAAATAATTTAAATATTATCCCTAGTTAATTTTTTTTAATCTCTTCTGTAAGAAACTCCTAAGGATTCATTGCTCAGAGCAGTAAATGACATTTTGGTATGATGCAATTTAAGGGTTATTTTTCAGTCTGGATAACACATTAGATTTTAGTGACAAATCCTTCTAGAGAATGTTCATAAGCTCCAGCCCAAATGTTTATCTTTTCCAAATTAACTTCAATAAAATAAGACATCTTGAGTTAGAATCACATTCCTTAGAGGTTTGAAAAAGATCTCTGACAGTTGGTCCTCCATCTCTAGGTAAAGCAAGAGCTACCAGCCACTTTAAGGATGTGCCCCTAAATTTTGTCAGTGAAAAATAACCATGCCCTTCCTCCTCACTCAAATGCTCTGCAAACACTGACCCTCAAATTGCAACTAAGTTAGTTCTAAACTAAGGCCATACGTTGAGTAATTCTTACCAGTTATAAATAATTCCTATTTATAGGAAAGTATGCTCATGGATAGGAATTATCCAAAGCGAGCTGTGTATTCTTCTCAAATTTCATTGTTTTACTATTGCTGTTTTTTTTTTTTTTTTTAGCTCTTTTGGCTCTTTGGGGGGGGCAACACTCAGCTCCTAAGTAAATCACATGGAGGGCTATTATTACTTATAAATGCCCAGCCTTAGCTTGGCTTGTTTCTTGCTAGCTTTTCTAAACTTAAATTATCCTGTCTATCTTTTGCCTCTGGGCTTTTGTCTATTTCCATATATCTTTCTTCACTTCTTTCTCTGTGGTTTGCTGTGTAGCTGAGTGGCTGTCGTCTGGAGTCCTCCTCTTCCTCCTCTTGCTCCTAGAACTTCGTTTCTCCTATTTATTTTCTCTCCCTGCCAGCCCTGCCTATCCTTTCTCCTGCCTCGCTATTGGCCATTCAACTCTTTATTAGACCATGCAGGTGTTTCAGACAGGCAAAGTAACACAGCTTCACAGAGTTAAACAAACACACCATAAAAGAATGCAATGCATTTCTGCATCATTAAACCAATGGTCCACAACATAAACAAATGTAACACCTCTTAAAATAATATTCTATGACATTTTACTCTTGTATAGACCAGTGTCCTTGGAGTCCTTGGCCTAGTCAGTCAGACTCCTGAAGAAATAAGCAGACACCATGATGCCAACTGTCTACTTATTGCTACTGCAAGTTCCTGCATTAGAGGACATGGGACTTTCTAGTATACAGGTATGTTTTGAAGGTTAGAGTTAATGTGTAACATTATGAAGTCATGTAGTATGTAGAAAGTAATAGTAGTTCTCTAAGAAGTAATAAAAGTAGTTAGGAGCTGTATCAGGGAAGAACAGGAAAATCTCAGGCAGTGACAGCAAAGAATGTTAATGAATGACTACAGGGTCACCTCCAAGGAAAGGCAAGAAAATGCAAGTCTAGAACTTCTTGCATTAAATTCCAAAGTGACTTTTAATATTCTGACACATGCAATTTGAATGATGCGGCACAAGAGAATGTCATGTGTGCAATCCATATGTATGATGTAGTTATGTTGAAAACAATGCAAAACTGCTATTATCACTTCAATCTTGAATTACAGCCCTGAGGAAAAAAGGTTCATTCCCCCACCCCTGTAACTTCTAGTTTGAAAAGATTTTAAATAATTCCACAAAAAAGAATGTTTGGATTCATTTAGAAGTTATCAGAAAATACTTCATAGTTAGACATGTAAAGGAAAATGGGACGTGTTACAAATGTAGGAGGACTTAAAATATTATACCTGTTAAGTGAATCCACGAGAGTCTGCCAAAGGGTATCAATGATTTATTAAGATATAAAATAATGTTTTGCATTTTGACCAACCACCAAAATATTGGGCCAAAGTGGCACACCATTTTACAATCTCACCAAATCCTTGTTTTTAAGGCTCTGATTTTTGTACAAAAGCATTCAATCATTCTGTCAGACCAAACCAGGA